CTGCCAAGCGCATGGGCAGCCACTCCTATCAGCTGTGGTCATGCCATTCAAGAGCCTTGGATTCTGATTCGAGCCGTTCGCACCAATCATGCGAATCAAAGAGAGCGGTTTCACCACCAATTCGAAGATCGCTGACCGAGTTTGCAGAGAATCCTTGGGGAATTTCGCCCATGATGCTTTTGCAGTGGAGTCATTGTCCTTGTGACGTGTCCTGTAACTATTCATGTACTTATACTTATATGCATACATTGTTATGTATATAGTCCATATATTCATCGTGATATGTCTGCAATATTAAAGAAAGGGACGCTGTGTGCATGTTCTACATAATCAGGACTGTCAATAAAGATGGCAACCTTCATTTTCACACTTAGCAACTGAGAGGCTTCATTTTAGTGGAACCATGAGTATAGTCGAAAGGTGTTTAGTCAAAAGCTCCTTGTAGAGGCGACTGTAACTGGACCACGATGCCGCTCATGTTTTCCAGGATCTTCGTTTGCAGCAACTGCAAGTCTGCCCACCAAGCCTTCTCACATCGATGTAAAAGTGCCCTGGAATGACGAAGACGAAGGACCTGACAACGATGGACAAAACACCCCCACATTGATCGTTTTTATGAAAACCATGATTGGAGAGAGAGAGAGAGAGTGAGAAAGTGCATCATGGCGCGAAAACAGAAATCGGCTTGATGGCCAAAATATAAAACTGTGCGTCTGGGCCCAATCGCGTTGAGGATTTGGGGAAAGTGTTCTGAAAACAGAGATCGACTCAATAAAGAACATGTGCAGTAATCTGTTCATGGGTTCTTGGAGGCAGAAGCAAAAGACATTTGGAAGAACATTCTGAGGTCCGTGAGCCTCGCAATTTTGATTTGGTTGTTGTTGCATTTTTTTTTGTGTGTGTGTCGTTCTTCATATTTTAGTGTTCATTGTTTTTCTGTTATATGATTACCCAGCAAGTCCAAAGGACGGGTTAAACTGGTGCGTTAGCATAAAGGACGCATTTCACCTCCCAACTTCCAAGACCTAATTTTCACAGGTTTTTCACGGCCTTTCACCCTGTTTTCACGGGCTTTTCACGGGTTTTTTCACGTCCTTTTCACGGGTTTTTCACGGCCTTTTTAAGCTTCCAGCCCCAGTTTTGCTAAAGCACCGGTTAAACTGGTGCGTTACTAAAGTACTGGTTAAACTGGTGCGTTGACCCACTGGGTTAGTTTATTCAACTTTTGGAAGAGGGTATCAGCAACATTCAACAACCACCCATTGAGAACCCGGGTATCCGCCGCCCTGTCCAAGAAGTTGGTTGGGGAATCATGTGGGGTCGCATCGCAAACCTTCTTCAGTACACCCCCCACAGAACATCCGAGTGTCAGTGTAAGGTCTTCTTATGGATTTGAGATCGGACTGGACTGAAGTTCGAAACCCGTTGCCTTCAGTTTCCGCTCACCGCCTTCCAAGAGTGTCCGCTTTTTAGGCTTGCCAAGCCTTGGACCCCTCAAAAGGACACACACCTGCGACCTTGCGGTCCAGGTACTCAGATGAGTTTGTGGTCCATGTCAGAGGTGCAAAGCCTTGAGGATGCGCATGGCGGTGGCAACCGCGTTTGCCAAGAAACCCACTTGGCCCACGTCAGACCAGAGGAACGACCCAAGGAGACGGGAGAAAAGGGCGAACACGACCGAACACGACCCAGGTCCAGTCCACATCAGCACCGACTTGCGGTTAACCACCAGACTCGGTGGCAGACAATTCAATAGGGATCCTACCTTCTCAGAAGGCACCTGATGGTGAAAAAGAGGAGCGTTCCGGTGTCATCGTCCTGGCCGTCTTGTGAGTACATGCTTGACAAGCAGCATCGGCCGGTACCTGGCCGACAGGTCGGCTCGCCGTGTTCTCGGATTCGGCCGCCCGCAGGAGGGCGACCACTTAGATGTCTTCAAGGACAGTCCAAGCACGCCAAACGCGGGTCGGTCGTGAGCCGCGGTGGGACTGGTGGAGGTCGACCCGGCCCGACGCGACGACGGATCCGACGGGACGACGCGGACGTCGGACGGACGAGAAACGGCCGTTTCTCGGGTGGTGCCAGGGAGGTCAAGGGGTTTGGCATATCTTCCAGTCCCAGACAGGTCGTGTATGGGATTTGGGTCGCTTTCCCTGGCATCTCTCCGACCACGGATCAGGAAGAACCATTCTTCGGCCGAGGTCCTTCGGATCGGTCCGAGGTCGGGCGAAGTGGTTTCGACACTTGGAGCTGCCATCCATGCCATCCATGCCCACAGTCAGAGACCTGGCAGAGTCGCCAGAAGCATGACATGTTGATTAAGATCCCGTACATCAATGATTTGGAATCCATGTTGTGCGGGACTCTAACTGGCATGTTTGTATGATGCAGCGGACCCGACCCTTAATCATTTGCCAAGTAGCATATACACCTAAGCTGGGAGGCAAACGGGACGAAACGCATGATGTTCTAAGTGGAGAAGATGCTCCATTTCGCCAACAGCCAACCCCCTTAGTCATCTCTGTGGCTTCAAACCGTCTTCCTTCAGGACTTTGTCCGGAAGGCATACTTGGAGAACCGCTGGTGCGGCAGCGCGCCGCGCCCGAGATCCGACCCTCGGCGGAGCCGATGGACCATCCGACGTTGGAGAAACACTAAGGGCAGAATAAGAGCAGAAGCCGGCAGAAGCACACCTTTTGAGTTGGAGCACCGCACACGCAAGAGAAGCATGGAGTTCTCTCCATCGTTCGTCCCCAAACACTGCTGAGCCCAGGAGCCCGACCCGCCCCGCGCGGCCCAGCGGCCCAGCGCCCCAACCTCCGCGCCGCGGGCGGCGCCAGCGGTGAGTGTGGATTTGCTGAGCGATTTCGAAGCGACTTCGGTGGCGCCGAGTTCTGGAGGTTTTGATCCCAGCGGCAGCGGTGCAGTGATCAACAGCGCCTTTAAGGAGCTGTCTTTGGAGGGATTTGGCCCACGGGGAGAGAAGACACAGGGAGGCAGGGATTTTTGGAAGAGTGTTTGAGGAATACCTTCTGAGTTTCATGCAAAATTGAATCCTTTGCAAAAGCATGCAAAAGTATTATTGTCTTTGCAGAAAATGTGCAAATATGTTACAAGCACGCAGAGTAGACAAAGGTCCACCCAAACCACATGACCATCGGAGGTGAATTGGCTGAAGATCGCATCATATCTCTTGCTCACCTGGTGAAGATCTCAAGTTTGGGGGATCTCCAGGAAACTACCAGCCTCAGATTCATTGACCTTGAACGCTTGGTATCGAGATCTAAGATCCTAGCAGGCTCTCAGATCTGTTTACAGCTCGCCTCTGAAAGGAGAGCTGTCCTTTGAGCATCCACCCAAAGAAAATGTATGAACATGTTGCCAATGACTCTTCGGAGGAGAGCGACTTTGGCTTCGACCCTTTCGCACAAATGCCAGCAGCTCCGCTCACTCCGCTCGCTCCGCTGGGCGCTTCATCTGCCGGATGCAACGTGGTGCCTTTAGATGAGCAAGCAAAAATCCTCGAGAGATCTCAAAGGGGTCCCAGGAGTTTTCATGATGTTTTCCTCTTTGGGAGATTGGGCGCATCAGGTGGGTGAGGTCGGGGCGCCCACCTCGGCCTCAAGGTCTACGTAGGTGATCCGTCTCTATTACCAAAAGGGCGCCCGCCTCACTGATTCTGATAAGTAGGTGGAGTCTCTTTATCCGATGGCGTTGACCCGCACAGTCGAACCTTTTTTTGGTTTCAGAGACGGTTCGATCGCATGGTGCGGAAACCCGCCCCACCGTTGGCTTACTATTTGGGAATACGGTGGTGTTCGAGCGGATGGGACATGGCGTTCGGATCCATCAAGGTTCCGCTGAGACACCTTCGGCACATGTCGCGTCGAAGTTGAACCCGGACACGACCGGACTGCCACCACATGGACCCGACTTCCATCACCCCTGGCCGTTTCTCGGCAGTCCGACCTGGCAGTCCCATAAAAGGTCTGAAAAAGTCACATGGGGGTGTAGTTGTAGTTGTTTGCCAGGTCCACATCTCGCCTTTTCAAGCCGATTGGAAACGGTCATCGATATCACTGAGGATCTGAGGCATAGATTCTTTAAACTTTACACTAGCTGGGCAAATGTTTTCTGGCAACTAGTAGTGGCTAGCAGATACAATATGTGAAAGCCAATTTGAAAACAGGTGGTGCAGTCTCAGTAGCTGAGCTTCTAACGCCGACCCCAGGCTGGTGGTTGTCCAGCTGGATGCTCTCCCAACCATCCGCCCAATGGCAACGCCATGTGCCCGTCCAGCGGCAGCGGATCGGTCCCCATGGGCGTTTTTGGGACCATGGGCACTTCGAGTGGTGCCACGGGCGGGCCAATGGGAGCTGGCATGGGTGCACCCAACCCCATGGGCACGGCTAGTGGCATGGGCGCGATGGGGGCAAGTCAGGGCGCCATGGGTCCCTGTGGTGGGATGTCCATGAACAATGGAAGCTTTGGCTGCGGCCTGTCTGGTGGATGCCAGGGCTGTGGCGGATGCCAGGGCTGCGGCTGCGGCGGATGCCAGGGCTGCTGCGGATGCCAGGGCTGTGGCGGATGCCAGGGCTGCGGCGGATGCCAG